TCCGATCTGCCAGCACTGACTGGCGGAACGGACGGGGGAGGGGGCGGGTACAACTGGCTCTGCCTCTAGATAGGCAGAGCCAGCTGTCACTCACGCAGCTGGGCGGATCCCGTCATCTACGTGGGGATCCGCTCCGGCTGCGGCGTCTCAGTATACCGCGAGCGTTAGCTCGCTGTATACTGAGCTTAGGGTAACGGGAGGACGCTAGTTTGTGTCCTCCCGTTACCCTAAGGAGAACTATGGGGAAAAACACTGACCCCATAGTTCTCCTTTAAATTGGCCCATTTCATTACCAGAGAGTCAGAGAAAAACCCAATTTGTCTTCATACAGTAGGAGTGTTCTATATTTTTTAAACAGTTAGTCCAATAAAAACTCTGTTTCAGCTTTGGGTGGCAGGAGGAGTGTTGAATTATCCAGCAGCTATGTTTACCCCCCAGGGAATTCCAGGATCAAGATCTCTGCACTCAAGTTCCTGATCCCGCCCATTACCCATGGCTATAATGGAAACGTAGGATTTATGGGTAGGGATACTCTCTTTTTGCTTCTCACAGGGTGTGGTAAGCGGTGTGAGAATCAGTTTTTAACATACTTTGCCTGTACATATTGGTAATAGGAGGTTTTCCCCTATATGCATTTGGCTATATTAAAAATATTGTTATTGTTATTATTATTCACACTTTATTATTACTACTCTGTAATGCGGCGAGGTTTGAGAAGTAGGAAACAATTTCTAATCTCCATTTTGCTTATTTAGTCTCTTTAAAGCATTTTTTTATAACTGCTATCATTTCAAAGCAATACATTTTCAGTTTATTGCATTTTTGTTTGTTTAGTAATTTCTGAATTTCAAGTTAAACATTTAGAAAACTGGTATTTAAATACTGGATTTTGGAATATGTTAGAATAGATGGTAATAAGCGTAGCCTAGCTCAAAATGGGGCAATACTACCCCCAAGTGGACAAGGAATATATTGCAGTTCATCAAGTTTGGCTTCACTAGTAAAGATCTTAAAAGGGACCCTGTCACCAACCTACAAAATGAAAAGGAACAGAAAGTGCTAAATGCTTACTTGCAATGTTTTTCTTTTCCATATATGATTTTTGTATTCACTTGCACTGTGCCTTAGAACTTGCTAGAGATTTCACTACTCCAGTAGAGTTGATTTCCTAGCACAGACTTCTCTCTTATTGTACATGATAGCCCTCTCCTCTTTCAGGAGTGCCTATTTTTTTTTTAAATCAAGTAATTTTTTATTAAGATTTTACAGAAAGTTATAACACAGTGTCATGTTGCAGTCAGTACAGCATGAGTATTATAGGCATAAGGGCATAATATTGAGTGCCTATTTACTTTCTTTTTCTGGTTCCGCATTTCCATTCCTCACCTCCCTACATAACATGTTTATGTAGCTGCCGGAGGAGAAGAGAATGGGAATACTTTAGAGTGACTTTTGATTGGCAGCACTGAGTTTGCTGAGGCTGCTGATATCACATCCAATATGCCGGCGTCCAACAGCAGTCAAAGGCATTTGAAAGTCTCCACAAAAGAGGATTTTACAGGTAACTTGCATGCATAAAATACATTAAATGCATATATAATCCTCTGGTAAGAGTTTTTGTTGAAATGAATAGTCTGGTGACAGGGTCTCTTTAAGTAAGCTTCCAATCCTGTGACACATGACATACTGAGCAGAACCATTGGGCCTGTGTTGGTGAGGCCCAGCAGGTTAAAACAGTACCTATTATTTGGTGTTTTCAGTGTGTGAGGCAGGTACTAAAGGCCTCCAATGTAATTATGAGATTTACTCAGGAAGTTCTTTCTTGTTTTGGGGAGGGTATATGTTACCTTGCTGAAATCTAACCTAGCCTAGCCTTTGCAGAAATGATTTTATTTACTAAAGGGTTATAACACCCTGAATACTACGAGTTTCTTTTCATTTTATTTTACACAGATATACCATTTGCCATAAGCAGGGCCAGCTTACCGAATTGTGAATGGGAAACAGGATCTAGTGGTCTATATGGACAGAGCTGAGAAATATATGGGGCTTTTAGAGGTACCAGATGACATTAACCATCATATATTTTCAATAAAACCATTAAACTTTATTGAAATGCATAAAAACCCAACATATGCTCGAAAAGCATAGCACTAAGGGTATGGATATTAAGGGTAATGGTACTACCTTAAGTACTATACTTTTTAAGAATATGCTGGGTTGTTTTGTACTTAAATAAAGTTTTATTATTTTATTGAAAATATATGATGGTTAGTGTCATCTGGTACCTCTAAAAGCTCCATATATTTCTAAGATCTGTCCTTTTTTTATGTGTACTAGGGGTGTGGTGCTGTTATCCCAGGTGATAATGCCTATTACCATGCAGAATAGGATCTAGTGGTCTAGTAATAGCATTTAGGGTCAATTACTAATATGTCAGTGTGTATGTATGTAATGACCAATTTCCCAGAGCAGTTGGGCAGACATTACACATTATGTCCACTGCCAAGCGTGTCACCTGTATTTGGTCCCACTTTTACTTTTTACTGCTGCAAATTACCTCTCTTCAAAAATTACAACAATGATTATGTAACAGTCAGAGACGCCTTACACCACTTAAGTTTGATTCTCACAGGATGACAGAGGCATTGTTCTAGTACCTAGCTCCTTTGTTATAATTTTGAATAAAGAAAGCATCCCCCTCCTACTTTTGAGTGTTCATCTGAGTTGCTTGCCAGGTTTAAAAAATGGCGCATTCATTAATTTGATGTGAACTGATCCATCTACCTGTGCCTGCATAGTTCTGATGTGGCCACAAAGTGGAGCAGAATCCTCCTCCACTAACCATTTTCCAGCTGCGATTGAAGTGAGAAAGTAAAATTGTAGGAATGTCACCAGCACACCAGTCCTTTTAAGATCGCAAAAGCTTCATTTATTGAAGTTTTTTGTCATATGACCAAACAAGCGCTTTCGAGACCGCACAGGGTCCCTTCATCAGGCTTTAGCATTGACGATGCTAAAGCCTGATGCTAAAGCCTGATGAAGGGACCCTG